TATTGAGAGGTTTGATGGAGAAGTTCAGAGATAATAAGGAGAATCTACATTTGATTTTTATTGATTTAGAAAAAGCTTACGATAAGGTTCCAAGAGATATCCTTTGGAGAGTTCTCGAGAAGAAATGTGTTGATATGACTTATATTCAAGTCATTAAAGATATGTATACTAGAGCTGTTACTTCTGTTCAAACTGAAGGAGGATTGACCAAACACTTTCCTATTTCTGTTGGATTACATCAGGTTAAGCCCATGTCTTTTTGCTTTATTTATGGATGGTCTTACTGGACATCTACAAGAGGATGTACCTTGGTGTATGCTTTTTGCTGATTATATCCTTCTTGTGGATAAAAACGAGAGAAAAAACCCATGAAAAATTTAAATTATGGAGGTCTACATTGGAGTCTAAAGGCCTTCATTTAAGTAGAACTAAAATTAAATACATGGAATGTAATTTTAGTCGTAATAGCTCTAGTGACAGAAGTGCGACTTTAGGTGATCAAATTATTAAAAGGTGTGAACGATTTTGATATCTTGGGTTCGTTGTTCAAAGCGATGGTGGTATAGATGGGGGTGTTAATAGTAGAATTCAAGTTGGTTGGTTGAAGTGGAGGAATGCTTCGGGCCTTTTGTGTGATAGAAAAGTATCGCTTGGACTGAAAGGAAAATTTTATAAGACGGTGGTGAGACCTGTAACGCTCTATGGTGTTGAATGTTGGCCTTTAAAAGAGAAGCATAACAATAAGTTAAGTGTTGTTGAGATGAGAAAGATTAGGTGGATGAGTGGCTTTAAACTTAGAGACAAAATGCAAAATGAATATACATGACAAAATGCAGAATGAATATATTCGTGATAGGGTTGGTGTAGCTCCTGTGACAAACAAAATTAGAGAAAGGCGTCTTAGATGGTTTGGTCACATTAAACATCGACCATCTGATGATTCGATTATGAGAGTAGATGTTTTAGATTTGACTTGTGTTAAGAAAGGCGGAACTAGGAAGACTTGGGCTTATTGTATTAAAGATGATCTTAATTTACAAGAATTA